TGACATTTCACGTTGAGCAAGCTTGGGATGTGTAGAACCAAGTTAAGACTATATTGGAAGGATGATTTTGGGAAGGAGAAATCAGATTTTTAAATTGACATGCAGTGCTAAAACTGGGAACAGTTTGCCTGGATTAAAAATAACTAATACAGAAAAAATATGAACGTATTTGGGAGGAAGAAATCGGTGTAGAAATGTGTGCTAAATGCTGCAAGCATCCTATGCAGTAAACAAGAAAAGGGACAAATACTGCTAATCCAAAATCATCATGGAAAAAATCAGTTAATAAGTTAATTAATCAGGAGCCGGAGGTGAAAGAAGTATTACTTTTAGATATCAGACCTCATTCCTTCCAGACTGAATTCCTGTCTGTTGAAAGGATTGGCACATCACAGAATGGGTATGATTGCCATGGAGATGATTAGGAGAACTTTGCCCATATTTTAGATTTTCTGGTTGGTCTCTGCGTAGCTCTTATTTTCCACGCTTCCGTAAAAAGAGAGGATAATCTGAATGCTACTAATGTAGCATATGTTAATTTTAAGTATCTTCATCTAGGATGATTTGTATTCTTTCTATTACTCTTCATACTGTGAACCGAGTCTAAAGGTGTTCTCCACAGTCACACAGTGAAGCTGCAGTAGGATCGGGACGTGGCCTCTGCCTATCAGCGTTTAGACCAGTGCCCATTATGGTCCTTCTTATCTTGATGTTTTGTTGTTGTTGTTTTGGTTTTTTGTTTTTGTTGTTGTTGTTTTTGTAGCAGCTGTGTACACTGCATTTTTATCTAAGGACTGGGAAAATTATTTGTATAAACATATGTATAGAATCATAGGGGTTGGAAGGGACCCCTGCAGGTCATCTAGTCCAACTCCCTGCTAAAGCAGGTTCTCTAGAGTAGTTGCACAGAAAAGCATCTGGGTAGGGTTTGAATATCCCCCCAGAGAAGGAGATTCTACAGCCACTTTGGGCAGCCTGTTTCAGTACATATCCAGTACTGCATTTTGTATTGTTACTGTTCAGGGGAAAGACTTAATGAAAAAACACACAAGTAATTCTGTTGCCTTAAATGCCATTTGTTTACTTGTTGTTACTCACACATGGAATGCAAGGGACAGTGATGATCTCTGCAGTCAAGATACAGAAATTATTCTCTCCTGAAATATACCAGGTATACAAGTCTTGGTAAAATGCAAGAATGAGAGAGCTGTTCCTTTTCTTTATGCTATTGAGAAAAATGATGCTGGAGAGAAGGAGGAGAAAGGTCCCTTTGGACCTACGGAAGCTGAAGATTTTCCTTCCATTTCTGAAATATCATTAGGCTGATTACTGAGATGAGCAGCACTTGTGCAGAAGGATGGAGGAAGGGAGAATTGCTTTTCTGAGCTGCCAGTACAGAAAAACACAGAATCTGTATTTATTGCCAAATTCCAGAAGGATTCTATCAAAAGAAAACCACAGAAGCATAAAGATAAATGCCTGTTGTGCTCAGCGGCGTGTCCAACTCACATTACTTCTGAGGATAGAGCACTAGCCCATTATATCAAATATTTAGTCACTGCTGAATTCTTCATCGTTCTGACCCTTGCACCAATGTACCCACTCTAAGAGCATTTTCATTCAGGTGAGAATGTGAATGCTGCTCCCTGCAATTTTTGGAGTAGTGGGTTTTCCTCATCCAGGTCATCATCAAAAGTGGGGAATGTAACAAGTAGAAATGGTTGCTAGCGGCAAGGGCCCAGATGAAGCTGATGAAGGCAAGGTACTGGAAGGGAAGGTCTCCTTTTGTATAACCAAATGAGCAGCTGTCTTATTTGCTATCCCAGCTTCTATGGAAGCCAGAAATAAAAGCCTTTGTTTGTGATCAGCAGGTTCAGGGAGTCTTCCCAAGGCTGGATAGTTCAGCTTGCTGGAGTATTTTCTGTTTATGTTCTTGCAAGAGATTGAGCATTTGAACGTAGGTCATTCCAAAATTAATGCCTCATTTATTTCCATGGCAAATACAATAGATGCAAAGAGCACCACAATGCTGTTTAATAGAGCAAATTCTCAGCTACAAAACCCTATTTTTTCAACACAGTTGCTACCATTTACTAATCTGCACCAGCAGAGGTGACTCTGTTTGAACAGCTTTTGTGACAGCTTCATTGTTAGGAAAATCTTTCCCACAGTCTGTCTTTCATCAGCCCAAACTGATGAAGTCAAAAGGTGCCAATTTGAGACTATACAGTGAGTATGGTAAGACAATCGATTGATGATGTACTCCACGTTCTTCAAACTGTTATGGGGCCTGGCATTAAGTCACAAGAGATGAGTTGTCTTCTTCTCTGGCCTGACTCTGGAATGTTGAGTCTTCAGCTTAGTCAGTGTTGCGATGTAGCAGAGTTAATTGTTTGTCAGGGTTACAGAAAATCCAGACAGATCACGCCTTTCCCATTCCAAAAGGCAGTGCACATCACTTTATCCACTGAGGGCTGCGTCTTGAACTTTGATGGGGAATCCATATTTACCACTCCATAGAACTGCCATTTTAACTCCAGCTCATGGTGACACCACGTCTTGTTGCTGGAAATGATGCAATCCAGGAAACTGTCACCTTCAGCCTGATGTTGGTTCAATAGGTCCTGACCTATTTGCATACTGTGTTCTTTCTGTTCCTTTGTGAGCATTTGTGATATTCCAATGTTTCCTCCATTGTTTCCAACGCATTAAAACTGATATTTAGCTCTGTACACGGTTGCCTGGCTGTAATCCTCTGATTTGCCCAGATGAACTGATTGAGATGCTCTTCATTTAATGGTGTGACAGCTGTGCATGGCCATCTGGAACACAGCTCATCTTTCACATCACTGTTGCCACTGCTGAAACGCAGCACCCACTGCTTCACTGTGCTCACATTTACTGTTTGATCTCTGTAAATGTTCAACAGGCATACATGAACGGTGATGGCCATTTTTTCTGCATGGAGGAATTCAGTGGCACAGCTTTGCTTCATGTTCCAACTCTACCCCTGTGTTGTCATCTGTCACATGACAACAAAATGTAGAATATTGGTGGGAAGATTCCATCTTTGAAGCCATCCCACCAACTTCTGCCTATGATTTTGTGGTCCAACATAATAAAATAGGAGACATTAGCTTTGGAGCAGCCCTTACAAATCACATATATTTGCTGGATTCTGCTTTTTCCTCGAGTCTGGAAATATGCAGTAATTTTACTGAAATTATTAGATTTGGGAAAAAAAAAAAAAATCAGATAAATACAGAATGTTCGGGTTACCTAGGCCTGGATGTTTAATTATTCCAGAAGAAAGAATGGAGTTAGTGTGACTCACCAGAAAAACCTAAGTATTCCTCATCTTTATAAATTGCATTAGAATTGTTTTTTAGTTTTGTTTTGTTGCATTTCTCATGAGACCTGTGGGAGTCATCGAGCTGACTCCTTATTCTTGTCACAACTTTGATAAACTTGAATTCAAGATTAGGTGATGTTTCATAAGCATACTGAGAGTTCGTTAATTACAGATGAAGGAATTGTACTTCAGTATACTGAAAATTTTCTTTCATTGTAGTAAAGTGGTTTTACTTATTGGATCAGCTGCTCACATTTCTGTTTTGTGTAAAGAGGCCACAGTGATCTGAAACCAGTCTAAAGAAATAGATGAGTGTTTTTGTGACAAACTGAATTTTGCCCGTTACACATAACTGCAGAATTATTTTGTTATTTGTGCCACATTATTTATGGGAAACACTTCCTTGCTCTGTATGTCATAATTTAGCTGAAAATCATCTGTATAGACCTAATAATATTTAAGTCAGGCCATTAATTTGCATTCTTCTTGTTGACAACAAAATGTGTATATGAGCTGAAGCCATTTTCTTTAAACTGTTTTACTGTGTGTTCTTTGTTTTGTGCGGTGCTGTGTGTAGAACTGTTCAGATCTGTAGTAATACATGGCAAAGTTTATAATTTCTTTTTAGTAAAAAGTTTAGGAAGACGTAGGTGGTTGTCTGATTTGACAACAATATTTCTTGAGTTTGTGTAATTTCTTGAGTTTGTTCAAGAATTTAATTTGCTGGTTGTCATTCCTGATTATCCAAGTGTTACGTACCTTACGTATCAATAATATTTGCTACCTTTCATATAGAAGAGAGAAAATACCTTTCTTTTAAGTTCTGCAGTGAATGAATGTTGAAATATAGTGATTCTTCTATGCCACTTTCAATCATACATGTTCTACTTGCACTAAAGCTTCAACATCATTGACTTAATACATGTTTACATTTTGTAGTTGGTATTAGAGCTGAATAGAATAACTGTCGTAAGTAAATTAGGAGTCACATTTTCTTCCACAGGTAAATACATGTCTTATAGGGAATATTTTACCTTCACTATCTACATTTTTGTTTTCTTATTTGTGAGCCCTTTTAATTTTCCCTAAGTGTAAAATGTATGAGCTATAGACAAAATAATTAAAGTCAGACTTAATAAATTTAGTTAGCAAACTATGAATCAAACCCTGTAGAGTACTTTCTGGCAAACCATTCCTTCAGCGTGGGCTAGAGCTCTGCTGTGAATGTTTTCTCTGTGTTCCAAAATCTAGAGTCCACCTCTGTGAAATGCTGAATGTCAGTGAGAGCTATGAGGGGAAGTGCTGAGCATCTTCCAGGATTGGCCCTTACTTTCATTCCCATCCTGTGTGTTATGCAGTTTGTTTTTCTTGAACTAATACCTTTCTTTGTTTTTCTTCTCATCCTGAAAACTAGGCTATGTTATGTTGATTTCAAGCTCTCTTAGTGCAAATAAAGTAAAGAGGGTCATATGACCTATTTGCCTCATAAGAAGATTATCATACAGAACTTGGTTCACTTACGTTGTCTTTTGTTTTGTTTTGTTCTATCTCATCTTAAGGATGAGATAGAAAACTCTGTAATGTTAGTATATTTTATTTACTGTAATCTGATGTACTATTTCTCTCCCCTTTTTCTCCTCCCCCTAAGATTATCGTTGGAGAAACCGCAGTTTTTTGTCTACAGTTAGCTACAAAGGATTTTGAAAATCAAGAAAAAACAATATTAACTGGAGACTGTTGTTATATAAATCCACTGGTGCGCAGAACCATCAGATTCCTTGGTATGAGCAAAATTAATGTTTTCATTTTCTGAATGCTGAAAGTGATTAAATATGTCTTAAGTTTGACCTGGAGAAACTATTCAGATAACACTACAATGTTTCATGTAAAGTCCTAACTTGGGTGCTATGAATTCTTTCCTTTTGGAAAACAAATTAAATGTCTTGGAAGAAACAAAAATCACTTTGCAGAAACAGTACTAAGAACAGAAAAACTTGGGATCACAAGAGAGGGGGAAAAAAAAAAACCAACCAGCAGGCCTTGACTAGTGGGAGATGGAGAGGGGAAGTATCTTTACACCAAATATATGGTTAACAGTTCTCTTTTGGCTGTGCACACATACAGCAGCCAAAGCTGAGGACATCAGTGTATAATTGTGTGTTTTCAAAGCCTGCTTAGTTTAGGTACTTTCTTAGCCTGGAGCATGTATTATAATCTATAATAGATAACTGTATGAAAACCACTGAGGTCAGCTGTAAAACCCACCTCCCCTGACTTCACTAAATTTGAGATGTTGTGCTTTCTACTTATTTCATAGTAAATGTATTTCAGAGGGGGAAGTACCACCTCTCAGAATGTCTGCTAAATACTCACAGATGCTGCTTTTTAGTATGTGCAAGGATGTCGCAGCCAGACTCCGTTTGTCTGCTGTGTGTTTCTCCCTGTTGGCTGTATCTGAGGGCAGCAGCTGGGGAGCAAAGCTGCAGGGCAGCTCATCCCGTGTGCCCCCGTGCAGGGGAGGGAGGGCTGCAGCTGGGTCTGTGTGTGCTGTGCGTGTGCCATAGCCATGATGCTGTCTGCCAGTGCAGTAGCTTACTGTCACACGGGAGTTCTGGAGTCACTGAGTGGGAAACTGCCCTGCATAGAGCTGGAGTTATGTGGGCAGTCATACTGAGGAGCTCCTCCTGCTCCTATTTCTCTGTACAGGGCTTGTGTGTGGCCAGAGTCCACCTGGTGGGCTCTCCTTGCTCACAGAAGTGAAGCTAGGGTGGAGCAGGGATGAGTAGGGCTTTTGCACTGTTGCACCAGCCAAGGTGTTGCTTCATGTTACTCTCACGGAACTGACGTGGCTGCCTGTTGTGGGTCTGCATACACTTTGGGGCTTGCTGGAGGGCCATCCTGCACAGCACCTGGGCTGGGTACAGGCCAGTGCTCATTACTGTCGAGCTACTTATGGTGAATCAACCAGTGTGACATTGCTGACCAGACAGAATCCCAGGAACCATTCTTGGGCCTCCAGCTTTGCAGAGGGAAAAAAACTGGCCTTGAAAGATGCACGTGCTTCTGCAGTATCACATCTGCTGTGGTGTGCATCCATTAATGTCCTCATCCTCATGGTGATACAGGAATTGGGAGCTGACAGAATTCACATTATACTCACAGCTAGCTGTAGAGTTGAACTAGGGAAAAGGTAAACTGATGTGCCTATGGAATCCAGGAATCCTGTAGCTAAGGTGGAGTTTGAATGTGTCTGCTGATTTGGCTTCCCAGTCATGGTGGTTGCTGTGGTTGTATTTTCTTCCAGAGTTTGCTTTCTGCTTCCAAAAAAATAGAAAGAGACATCAAAATAGGATGTATCTAATTTTGCTTTCTTTTTCCACTAATCAGATAAATGCATTTTTATTCTTATGAACAAAAGCACATGCTTAATGCTTTGCTGATATGTCTCATAAAAAAAAGGGTGTTAGTATAAGTAGCTTCTTGAATATAATGATCTTTAACTCACTGTGTTGATATTATGATTAACATGTGCATAGAGATGCACCCAGTAGCAGACAGATAAAGACAACTTGTGCATGGCAATATTAAATTATTCAGTACTCAAACTTACAGCTGAGAGAGAAAGGAAAATGTTTGTCCGGTATGTGCAATGACTTTTCAAGTTACTTCACCATTCAGTGTGCTTGACTTCTCTGGCTTTGAAACAGGGCTATAGGGTGGAGAATTTGCCTCTGTTATTTCTGTTAGGTGAACATGGACAAAGGCTAGATGTTTGGCTAACTGCCCCAGATAGCTGGGCATGCATGGCTAGGGGACCAAGAAAGCAGGCTTTTTCACGAAAGATGAGTGTACTCCTCTGAAGAATGGAGACAGAATCAAGAGTGTGGGTACACTGCAGTGTTGCTTCTGCCATTGGATAGGAAGATATCATCTCCAAAATCATCAAGGTTCCTTAGGGTATAGTCTTGTCTTGTGCTTGAGGATTGCTCACATTCTTAAATGAAGGGAGCTGATTTATTACTGTGATAAATATTATAATATGTTGTCCTGGACTGAAATTGTCGGGAATTTTAACTCTTTGTTTCCCTCTTTAGGAATTTACGCGTTTGGACTGTTTGCTACGGACATCTTTGTAAATGCTGGACAAGTAGTAACAGGGAATCTTGCACCACATTTTCTTGCACTTTGTAAACCCAACTATACAGCACTTGGATGTAAACAGTACACACAATTCATCAGTAGTGCACATGCCTGTACTGGAAACCCAGACCTTATCATGAAAGCCAGAAAGACATTCCCATCCAAAGAAGCAGCTCTAAGCATATATGCAGCTATGTATCTGGCTGTAAGTATATTGTACTGTTTAATACCACTGTATTTTTGAGAGAATATTGACTCAAACTATTTGGAAGGGGAAGAATGGAGGGAAGGTAAGACAGCTATTGACCAATTTTATGTATATAATCCTTCTATGTGTTACTGTGAAAGCTTTGAGAATTTGGTTCATTGGACTTAATTCTGACAATTACATGTGTACTTACCTTTGCAGATGTAGTAAGCCTTAAAAGCTTAAATAATAAAAAAAAAAGTTTAGGGCCATGCTGAGAGAGGATAAATTGTTCAGGAATGGTTATAAACTTAGGATAACCAGGTTTTCAGTTTATTTTTCCCTGTTTCCAGGGAGAAGGAGAAGGCTCTGTTGTGTGGCAAAGGGAAGGGGGAAAGGATTGTCTGTAACCAACTGGTAGTAGTCTCTTCCTCTGTTTTAACCCAGTTCAAATTAGTGGAATTGCATGTGGCAGTATTTTTTGGTGGGGTAAAGCAGAAGACTGGGTATATGCAAATGTCTGATCTCTACAAGTTTCCTGAGGAACCATATATATCCACAGATACCAGAACTGATATCTATAGGTACTATAGTTCTCTTGCAGTGAGTTTGGCTCTGATTCTTCATTTAAGTGGGCTACAAGACAATCCAACCTTTCTTCCCCCTCTTCTTTGTCACACTGACTGATGAGTAGGGCTGGGATAAACTGCTGTTGCTGGGTGGCATGAGAGCTGCTGCTGAGGTAGTTCAGAAGTGAGAGCAGTAGGAATGAACCTTGCTCAGGTAGCTTAGTCTGGAGTTCAGGTTGTTCCATCTGCAAGCAGCAGCACGTGTTCTTCACCAAATTTCCTTGGGGCACCCTTATGGAAATCTTCCAGTTGACCTGGGCCTGCATCCACAGGTCTTTATAGCCCACTGGAAGGGCCCAAGGTTTCCCTCATGGTGTCAGTGGGGAGTAGGGCAAGTGTGTGCCTCTGGTAATTTCAGGATTCAGCCCTTCAAATCCTTCAGTATGTGAATAGTGGTGTGTGTGTGTCTGCATATGTATGTAGACACATGTGAGTGTTCATCAGTTTTTAACATACATATTTAATGAGCTGATTTTTAATCTTTGTTTGATCTGGAAACTGATGCATGCAAGCTGATACTTGATATGTGGCAGTGCACCAACGCCACGCTTCTGGGTATGGCTTCAGTGCCTGTGCTTAAAATCTGCATCCCTGATAGTAGCATTTACTTTAAGTTCCTTGTGGGCAATGCTTTCTTGTTAGATTAACAATTAGCTCAGGAAGGTGTTAGCTGCAAATTAGAGACGAGCAATAGTATTCTGTTCTAACTTGTGGTAAATGTAAGACTGCTAATAGTATCATCTTTTGGAATATTTGGGAGATATTTGAGGCTTTGCTTTGCTGAACTGTACATCCAAATTTGGTGCAAACTATTTTAGAAAATGTTCAGCATTCTACATTTTAATTGTTCCTATTTTTCTCATCCATCTGTAAAGTTGGATTTCCACTGTTGCCATGAGTCACAGAAAACTGAAGGAAGCCAACTGTTCAGCACTGCAGAGCAGAAAGGAAAACAGTATTGACACATTTTAAAAGGAACAAGTAGGCAATTACTAAGACTTAATACCTAGTGTCATGGCTTTTGTTACAGCTGCAGTGCTTTATGCAAAACTTATGTAGTCTGTGATCAATAATCAGTTAACATCAAAACTGGAAGCTGGTGTGATCTGTTTCATGACTTTATAGTCTTTCAGTAACAGCAGAAAAGGATATATCCTGTGTCATTAGTGTATCACTGTGATGCATGACAGTGTCATCATTTAACTAAAGCACTGTAAACTGCTGACAGGACTGATGAGTTGTTCTTGTAGGCTGCCTGAAGAACTAATTACTGTGATGTATCTGCTGACTGCTAGCCTACACATTAAGGTCCTTGATGCAATATTGGCAGTCTTTTTTTGTTTTTTTTTTTCAAATCTCGTTGCACTGTTGCTGCTAAAAATATTGTTTGTTACACACCAGGCAGAGAAATGCAATGTTCCAGTATCTAGGGTCATGTCCTTGCAGTGTCATGATGTTTATTGGGAAAGCTGGCTCTGAATAACAACTTTCTCATCATTATTCACTGAAGTAGAATGTTTAAACAGTAGCCCAGTCTTTGTATGAACACTGGTACAAAAGTTATTGAGAGCATGGACATAAAGACATTCATATACTACTCAGCTAGTACTTCATAAGCATATAATTTCTGATACAAAGTGTGCTTTCATTTTGTTTAACAGAAATGTTTGGGTGAGAGGGTGAGATTTTTACAGAATCTTTCTTGGACATTTCAGCCAGCTGTGCACACACCAAAACCAGCTTAAAGATACAAATAGGCGATATGCACCCAGCATCTTGTTAGCAACAGCTTTTTCATCTAAGTTCTTAAGCCTTCCTTTTTCACTCCTCCCCTCTTTTGTGAGTGGGTGGCTGCTATGGTAACTCTGAATTCCCTTCCCGCTGGAAGTACAGGCTTTTGCGAACAATTATATTGCTAATATTTAGACCTCTCTAGCATTTGCTTCCATTGCTTTTCTGAGTACCTATCAAGAAAGACTTAACAACTGAAATGTTAAATGGCAGCAATGTGCTTAGGTTTTTTTCTCTACCCTATCCAAATGTGAATGCTTCCAATGATTCATAACTTATTTCCTTAAGACTTGCAGGTTAATTTATCCCTTGCATACCTGAAACTTCAAAATGAACTACCATAAATATGTTTCAAAATCTCTACCCAAAATGGCTGTTATCTGGATATCTCCTTAGCTGATTATTCAGCTAATCTTAAGTCTCCTTTGTGTGTGAATGAGCTAGAGTTGGATTACTAAGTTCAGTGCAATCAGCGTTCACTTCTTATCAGCATTGCAGTTTCTCAGTTGGTACAGCATCTGCTGACATGGATATTAAGGCAGATACTCCAAATTCATTAAATTTATATAACTGTATAAGCTACATTTCAAGATGCATAAGCTAACATAGCCTGGATGATTAGAGATACATTTTGAATTTATGAAATTGTGTATATATTTGCATGAATGGTTTTGTTTGTCTTTTCCCCAACAACCAACACTCAGAAATGAGAAGTCACAAGTCTTTCTACTGGTAGGATTTCAAAGTGATCTGTGAAGATGTAGTCAATCTATTCCCATGGATTCAATGTGAGACTAGTGACTAACAGTTGTCCTTTGATGTTACAAATATAGGGGATTGTTCATTGCTAGCTGTAGTTTAAAATAAATTCTAATTAATCATACAAAACTTTGCATTTTCTTGCTGCGTTGGATAAGAAGAATTGACAGCTGACCTATCTGAAGCACAGCTTTTGAACTTGGTTCTATCAGATACATTTTAGACTTGCTTTAGATTTGTAATGATAGAGGAGAAGGTTTTATGTTTTGATAATTAACATAGTCCTTAGATGTGCAGGCTGCAATTACAACCTCAGGCAGGGCTAGCAAATACAGCTGACAAATAATACCTCCCTATATGCAGAGCTTTTGTTGAGATCTTGATCTTCTGCTTGGCAAGGTTCTATCTTCTAGCATGCTGCTGTATCACCCTTGCTGTTCAGTGTGTTTCTAAGTCACTGGGAAAAGACATCAAGGCATTCTGGGTCACAGTGTTGGTAACATGCCACTGCCTAGTGTCACTCCTTGATCTGGTCTTTGTGTCTTGAGGTTTCGTGTAATCTGTGAAGACCTTGTTCTTGAAGCTTCTTTATGGGTTCCACTCAGTGGGTAGGTGACAGTGGCGTGGTGAGTCTCTCTTGATAGGCTTTGAGTGTTGAGATTTGAGAGAATCATCGTATAGAATTTGCTTTGTTGTTTTTTTGTTTTTTGTTTTAATAAGTTAAAGATTAAAGAATTCTTTTGGCTGCTTTTCAGGGATTTTCTTTTCACTGTCTGTGTCTCAGTGAGCAAAAGTATCCACTGACACTGATTGTACAGTATATATAATGGTCTTCATCTAATGGATGCATTGATTGCTTCGGATTGGATAGCAAATAAACATTAAAATTTTGTTCCAGAGATTTACCTAAAGACCACTGGAGATTTCTTGTCAGTCAGTTCTTTGTAACAATTCAGTTGCTCAAGATAATAACCTCTGTAGCCTGAATCAGTTCTTGGTAATAGTTTGATGATCTTACGGTCTTGATACATTGGTGAATCTCTGTCTCCTCCAGTTGTTTCAAGTTGCATCTGTAAAAAACTCTTTGTGGGACAATTTACAGTGAATTCCAGCGTTTCTTAAAGTTTTTTTTCCTTTTTCCAATCCACAGTCTTGACTTTGAAACCCAAGTTTGCTTGATGTTATCAATAGTTACTGCAAAGAATATGAAAGAAAAAGGAGAAAGCCTCAAAAGAACAACAAATAAATCATCAGTGAGCATTTTTGGTTGCAGTATGGCTCAAATAAAATGAGAATAGGACTGTTCTTTGCTCTGGTAATAATTTGACCCAATAGTTACTAATCAAGGGACCTGAAGAGCTTTTACAATGTCAGGCAGGATTCTGACTAAAGACTTAACTTGCTTGTAATCTGCAGTCCACTACACCTCCTACTTTTTCATCTTTTTGATCTCTGAATATCTCTTTTCCTGTACCTATGATGAGGAATGTTGAAATCTGTGCACTTCTAAGGTGGAAGGTGTATAAGTTACGACTTACATTTCTTGCTACTAAATTATACAAGCAAAACAAAACTTGGAAATGTATATTTGGAGCTCTGCCTGGGAGGAATCAGTATACAGGCACCAGTCTCCTTTCCACTTGCCACTTCATGAGTCATTGTTCTCTGCCCACTAACAGACTGGTTTGTCCCTTTGTCAGTTTCCCCCGACCATCTGCTTCATGGAGGACCAAAACAGCAAGCATGGAGGACATCTTCCTCCCCATACCCTGGGAACTCAGTCTAATGAACCAGATAGGAAAACTAACCTTCCTCCTAGTTGGTGTGTCCAGCCTGATGACTAGCTCCACTCTAACCAAGATGGGACTCCGGGACTTCCTGAATGTGTGCATGTATGTGCATTGCTTTTCCTCTAGAATCAAGAAGAAAACTGTTTTATTATATTTCATTTTCAATGCAGTGCAGAACTTCAACTGAACTGACTGCATTAATATAGTACTTGAGCTGTAAGTTTAAAAATGGATGTCTGTAAGTCCTGACTTGCAGAATTCTGTTTCTTATGCAGAGCTTTTCAAGAGTATAGGCTACATTTCTCCAGAAGTTTTGCTGTACTTCTCTTGACCCGTTAGTGGAATACTGTCCTTAATATCTCAATGGCTGTTCTTTAAAGAAAAAATTAAAAAGTAATCTATGCTGTCAGAACCCTCTGATTATTGTTAATAATGAACTGAACATGTCAATCTTGACTATGTGTATAGGAAGGGACTTGGCACACGGGAGTCTTTGTTAGTCAGCAGCAGGAGTTTCTGCAGTTGTTTCTGCTTTTTGAGTGCTTTGTTTAAATAAGGATTTGAAGGATGATCTTGACTCTAAAAAATGGTTCAAAGAATTTTCTGCAGAGTACTCTTCAGTTTAGTTTTGTATTAAAAATGTTCAATTTTGACTGAAATATTGAAGAATCAATTACTAGTGTTTGCATTGCAATGCATTTTAACTTCATAAAAATTTAGCATCTTAGGTGATGACTAGTTGTTATAGATAACTGAGACACATTGCTACTACCTGCCTGAAATAAACTAACAATTTCTTATCAGTTGATTTTTCCTTCTCAATATTCATTTTGATTTTGCTTACCCTAAAACAGGATTTCATGCAGGATAGCCTACTGCCACTGACAGTCACCTTCACCCAAACAGTGTGTCAGACTTGATGATCTTGCTGCCTATTCAAAATGCTTTATTGAGCACCAGATGTTCTAACATATAGCATTAATGAGTGTAATGGTGGTAGTATCTGGAAGGACATTGGCACAGAAAGCTGCTGAGTAACTCAGCACAGGCTGCTCTGTAGCTTGAAAGAAAAAAAAAAAAAGTGGACTAAAACAGTGGAAGTGAGATTTGAAGTCATCTTGTCAGCATTCCATGTAACTCACTGAGAAGAGTTTGCTAAACTGTAAGGAGCAAAGGTAAAAGCAATGGGAGAGCAATGGGAGAAATTCTGTGTCTTAAATGAGCTAGTAAGAGGACAGGAGAAATATGTGTTGGAAATAAAGAATTAATCTCTCTTTTTAAAACCTTGCTCTGTCGGCACTATTGGAAAGGTGTTCATTGCATGAGGTACACTGGTGATGTGTTGCAGTATGCTGCTGTGATTTTAAGTTACCTGGTTACACTGTGATTCTTTCTTTCTGCCACGAATATTTCTTTAGTGTTTTGAACAACACAGCTGGCAGATGTTCTTTGCAGGCATGCTCTGACTGGTGCTTCCTTCATTTCATTTGATTGATTTACTGTGAGTGTAGCTAATCCTTCACTAAATTATTGCACTAATGCATAACTTGTTGCTGAGCAAATTCAGGTGAAATTTCAGACAGTACAAAGGGTTGCCTGTTAACCAAGGAGCTACCAGTTAGTGCAGACTCATCTGTTTCACCTTTCAAGCTCAAAATGGTTTCAAGTTTCAAGGGAAACCTCACGAAGAAACTTCAGTTCTTCATTTTTTAGAACGATAGTACTTTACCTAAACATGAAGCTTAAGGACTTCAGTGGGTTAGCTGCAGATGCTGTGGAATGTAAATACTAATTTTCCTCAAAAGCCTATTTAGTTGAAGTGCTGTTTTTCAGGGTGGAACTTTAAAGCACCCTTAATGTCAATATTGAATATAAACAAGAGAATGGAAGTTCAGAGTTTTGAAATTCATTTCCTCCATTGGCCTGTCAGAGCTTGTGCACCTAACCGTGTGGCAGAAGAGCTGCTGCACCTCCATGCTTTACATTTAATCCAGTAGTACTTGTAGACCATAAGACTGCAAGCAGGGCAGAGGTAGAGATCTCAGTTTCTTGGAGGATGTATAAAAAACTCCTACAGTAGGATTGGTTTTGGGTACTGTGGGGAATTGGTACTAAATATCCTCAGATAGCCTCTGAGAAGTATGGGGACGTATTGGTCAAGCACTTGTTGAAAGAGCCACATTTCATTTTTAAAAGCAGATATTGACATCTAGTTCACTTTTCACTACATTTGGTAAGCCTCAAGCTAATCACATGGAGAAGCTACATGTGAGGAGGAAAGATATTTGCTAATAAAACTAAGGTTCTGATGGAGCCCCTGTCAGGACAGGGTTTTTTCTATCACTGCCAACACCAGGCAGTGAAAAATTAGTCCCTCTATTTACATCTCTGCATAAATAAATAGGTTGATAGGATAGGGTTGTCAAATAAATAAATAAATGCAAACCCCAAGATACATAATCTATTTAAACCTCTAATATTTCTCTAATATTCTGTTCACCAGTTAGTGGGAAGTATTATACATTGGTATTAAACTTGCTTCTTTTCTGATTTTCAGATGTACATCACCAGCACGGTAAAAGCCAGAGGAACAAGGCTTGCAAAACCTGTTCTGTGTTTGGGCCTTATGTGCTTGGCTTTCCTTACTGGAATCAACAGAGTAGCAGAGTATCGAAATCACTGGTCAGATGTAATAGCAGGATTTATAATTGGAATATCTATAGCAGTGTTTTTGGTAAGTGTGTATTTGTCACTTTATTTTTTGAAAAATATCAATGTATTAGTTTATATCTCCTAACCCATGTTGGTAGACTTGACTTTTCGAATGTCCATGAGGTGTTTCTATTTTTTTAATTATCAGTTTCCTCAGAAATGTCGAATCCAAAAAAGAATTGATCAGATTGTCTATTTTGATTCCCTTATAAACCAAACTGTAGAGCTTCATCCACTAATTTATTTTACATTAAGCCCCACATTAAACAAGTGCATATTTCTTAGAATAATAACTATTAATATTTTAAAGCATTACATGCAGTAGAGGGATGCCTACACTGATCAAAGAATGAGTAGCATTTATTTTCTGGCTTTAAAGTAGCCCCCTCTGATTTATTTATTTATTTATTTTCATAGTAATTCAAGTTTAAATTGAAATTCCATTTTATCCAGTCAAAAATTCTTGTTTAGTTTTCTCATTTTTCTGGAGTCGTGTTCCAGTACTGAATCTGTAATCCTAGTTATTAATGACCAGTGTCTGTGTCAGAGGCTGCCACTAATGTATTAATCACCTTCACCAATAACTTCAGTGTAAAACTGCAGCATAATGTAGTTGTTGCTGTTTACTGTCTCTAAGTTTTTCTGCCTGGCAGCTTGTATTAGTACTAAAAATAACTGATTTTTTTCCCTGTGAAAATACTTTTGATATTGATTCTGGGATCTCAAGATCTTAAATCTCAAGCTTGCACAGGGATGACTGAGGTGGACTTTTTCACTCAGCTGATAAATGCAAAGGCAGCTTTAAGTCTCTTTGGAAACACAAGCAAAACACACTTGGTGTCCTGGTGTAGTGTTTGGTTGTGTGCTCTTAAGTTTTTGTATTATTTTTTTGCCCTAAAGTCATGAAAGAAAAGAGAGTAGACGAGAAGTCTGCTCCAGAACTTTTTCTTATATTTTTTGGTGTGTGCTGCATAAACTTCTCTAAGTAGAATGGCATCAAATTTAGTTGTGTTTTAAAGACAATATAATTGGAAAAAACTGCCTTAGTTGAATGTCTTAATTAGTAGAACCCCCTTCCCCTCCCCAAGCAAAAGAACATTGCATGCCACTTTCCTAAATGCCTGTGTGAGTCTCATTGCTACACTGCTGCTGGCCTGAGCAAGTTTAGTTTAGTTCAAACCTGGGCACAATTCTTGCCTTCTTGTCCTCCCTTTCTTACTCTGCTTGAGAAATTCTTTGCTGGTCAAAACCTACATGGCATTAGCCCTTTCTAGGAGCATAAGATTGTCACATATTTCATACATACCATGGACATCATTCCCTTATAAGGAAAGACTGAGTCCTGGGGCTGTTCAGCCTGCAAAAGAAAAAATTGAGTGGGGATCTTATTAATGCTGATAAATAACAAAAAGATGCAGTCAATTGGATGGGGCCAGGCTCTTTCTGGTGCTGCCTAGTGACAGGATGAGGACAATGGACCCAAACTGAAACAAGTCTTTACTCTGAAGGTGATGGAGCACTGGAACAGGTTGCCTGGAGTGGTTGTGGAGTTTTTTCTTTGGAGATATTCAAAACCCGCCTGGATGCCTACCTGTGTGACCTGCTGTAGGGAACCTGCAGGATGATTTCTAGAGGTCCTGTCCAGCCCCTGATTCTCTGCTTCTGTGGCATTGATTCATGACACTGAAGATGATTAGTATTATATTGTTTAGATTGGGTAATGGATTTGCTTTTAGATAAGAGAGCTTTCTTGTGCTTGGACGATGGATGTATGAAAAAACTGCTTAAAAATCTTTTGTTTTGTCATATTGTTTCCTATAAAACATGCACTTCACATTTGTATATTTTTGCTGTAAGCAGTGACTAAAGCTAGTGTCAGTTCCGCCTAATTGTGGGTGTCAGGATCAAAGCTCAGTTGTTCCTTAGCAATTCTGTTTGTCTTCTAATCCCTTCTAGGTTGTTTGCGTGGTAAATAATTTCAGGGGACGTCAGCCAGAACATGAACATTCTCATACGGATAATCTGGCCCAGATGCCCATGATCAGCATACCTCGAGTAGAAAGCCCTTTAGAAAAGGTAATGTCTCACTTTCTTAAAAATGTTATAAAAAAATATGATTTTGTACTTCAGCATGCTAGCAGTAGTCTCTTGGGCATGAGTAACTACTGCTGTGTGATTAAATGTTTTGGTTTTGTTTCTACTAGTAAAAAAAAATGGCTTTGCAAAGATGATGCAAGTGTTAGGCAAGGTTCTGTCTAAATAATACTGAGAGCAAGCAGTCACTGAAAAAAGGTAATATCCAAATAAAGAGAACATTTCAGGCATTTTTACCGGAAGTAAAGTTAGAACTACAAGCAAAGTTTTAAAGCAGTGTTAATTTATAATCGCTTTCCATCATTACTTATTAAAATCTCTTTTGTTATACCCATGCTTGAAGATAGTAAACAATCCTAAACATTTTAGGTTACCAAAAGTGTGTTTCTATGGCATTCTTTGAAATTGGTGTTACTGCTGACATTTTCTCCTACCAATTGTAAGAATAAATGTTTTTAACCACTTCCTAGTCTGTGCTTGTCACTTGAAATGGGCAGAAGTTGTCTTTTACTGAAATTGCTGCCAGCAGTAGGTTTTTTATTTATTTGCTTGGGGGGAAAGATTTCTTTTCAGGATAATCCAACATGTCTTTTTGAACCAAATGTGTCTAAGCTACTTCTACTGATGTTTTGTCACAAGGAGGTCACAGTATCATTTGCTTGAACAAGAACAAGCATTTAGATGATGAATGTGTATCTTCAAAATAATCCATTCAGTAAACTCTCTGTAAAATGTCAGAACAAACAAGATGTCAGTTGGCTTAGGACATACCATATTAATAAGCATGTCTTATTTATGTGCTAGGCTTTCCTACAGTAAAAACCATTTGTGTAGCTCAAAAGCCATCACAGATCAAAAGTGTACATTCTCTGCAAATTCTTCTTATAAGAGCTCTAGTGTTTGGCTGCTGAAATTTATTTTATTTTTATCCCGAGAATTAAAACCTCAGTGTTTCTACCTAATCTGACACTTTCTCATCCATGACAAACTGTTTTCTTTTCCAAATCCTAGGTCCAGGAAAGCTGAAATAATGTGGGGAAAGCAATGGGAGGGAGGCTGCAAAAATAACATTTGTGACTTGCCAGAACTCTTATTATATGAATGGGAGTCTTTCCTTCTGAACTCTTTTGGCTCCTGCGATAGCAGAGGCTAGCTCTTTGCTGTCATGGGACTTCTCACTTAAATCAGGGAGGGAAGTGCCAGCAAGGTGTTATAGTTGATGAGATCTTAGTGTATAGATTCATCTTTCCTTCTGTTGCAAAGTCTTTGCTCTCTCCAGACCGAGAAGATGAAATGGGAGGATGAGTATGTGCAGTATTTCAGAAATGCTTTTCTTCTGTTTCTACCTACGGAAAGCTTGAACTGGAATTAGCAAATAATTGATGAAAAATCTGCTCTTATCTGAGTGCTGCAGGTGGTGAGATGTTTATTTGTTTAAATGTCTGGTCTAAAGGTTTGTACAGAAGCCAGAACCTATTAAATAAAAGGCACTAGGAATAATACTTATGTGGAAGTAGAGTCTAAACTGAGCCATCTCAATTAACTGCTGCCACTTCAAGAATTCATAAGTTGGTCTTTGCTTTTTAACTGTATTTTTATTTTTGTTCTTTATTTTCCTCTAGAGAGAGGCGCTGGATGATTTGTGTGCTACTTGTCTTTTACCTGCTCTAACCATGTGCAAATTACTTTTTGCTGCTTCTCAGCTGGTGCTGTTCTAGTTATAGAGCCTGAATTCATAAACAGTTCTATTTGGCTTATTTTATATTTGCTTTTCTCTATTCTCAGTCTGAGAGCTTCTGTGCCAATATTAAAAACAGCCTTCATAAATTAGCTACTATTAGCTATTTTAATACTATATTAGCCTATCATAAATTAGCTACTAAGAGTTAAGACTAACCAAAGTTAGGGCTGAAGTCACAGGCTAAAACAGTCTTGGGATGAAGCAGAGCTGCTCCTCTCTTACCAGTACTTAAAAATAACAATATGGGCATTTGGGAGTGAGCAATTCAAAGTTGCTGCCCTAAACAGTAACTTCATTAGAAATGCATGCCAGATGGGACCTCTCTCTTTGCTATTTTGTTTGAAAATCACTCATAAATGAATAAGCACATGGTCCATCAAACAGACCTGGAAGCACCTCATTTTGTGTTTCAAGGTCTGATACTCATCTGTTGCAGTGCTGTTTTCCTGCTGAAGAATGAATGTGCTTGGTATGCTCTCTGTGCTATCACTGTCTGAGTTCTGGAGGAGGTCAGGAATCATCTATGAAGTACGCTTAAGCAGGAATATGTGTACTTGGAGCATTCTGAATTTTATATTCTGCTGGTTAAAGACAAGAGTAGATCGCTGTTTGCATGCCACTTGTTCAATTGCAGTGTGTGCAGATGATTAAGTTGTTCTGCAGAGGTACCCACATCTTGTGCACTCAAATAAAACAAAGTTGCAGAGTGTCTCCTGGAAGTACCTTGGCAGAGCTGGCTCAGCATTGCAGACTTCAGACTTATTACTTTCACCTTAACTACATTCATCCTTAGAATTAATGAAAAGAGTGAAAGCCAAGAAACCTCATCACTCACCCATCTGTTCCTTTTTCTCTTCTGTCTCTGACCTTCATCATCTCTTATAAGGCAATTTGTGTTTCAGTCAGCTGGCACTCTGCTGCAGATGGGAGGCCCGCTTGCAACCACAGTCAAGGCAGTCAAGGTTTTTCTTTTTTCTTTCTTTCTTTACTTTTTTTTTTTTTTTTTTTCTGTTGCAAGAGTTTCTGGGAAATAAGAATATTCTGGGTGGCACTCAGAAAAGTTTGAAGTTCAACCAATACAGTCACAGACTTTTTTCCTCTTTTGAGGGGGAGTCACACTTATTATTTCATGCTTGAAGTCACCTGAAATTGGGCAGGATTTACAGAGGGCTGGTACATGTCTTGTAGTGACTGCTGACCCTGCTAGACTATTTATGGAGGTATTGTAGCTTTGAAAAATCAAATACAAAGGAAATATGGAGCATTTGAGGAAGAACTGATGCAGTAGATGAAATAGGTTATAGAGGTTTAGAAGAAAGTGTTGAATTAGGATAGGCACTGTAGTTCATCTCCTATGGGATGTTTTCTATGTCTGATCACCAGGGCTCTGCATCTGCTCAGTATTATTTGCACACTGCTCTGTTTAGCGGTTGAGCAGAATTCATCTCCAGAGCCTCTGCCTGGCATTCCTTTGCATTGTTTCTTCTATTGGCAATGTCCAAGCCATGTCCCCAAACGCAGTTCTTTGTTGCAGTGAGGTTGCTTGTGTTTCAACAGTGGGACTGGCTCTCTAGCTGACTGAGACTGCAAACAGGTAGTTTGCAGTCTTTACCTTCACAGATCCGTCAGCTGTGGTAGTGGTGGTTTAGTTTGCCCTTTGAAAATGAAACATTTTAACAATAGCAAATATACATATAGACATGCATTTCTCTTAAATTTCTGATTGTGTTTTAAGACTGAGGAAGATTTTTCCCTTCTGTGTTTCAAAACAATGTTTTTTTTCTGTTTACTCCTCCTTGATTTATCATGAGATACAGAGGTCTTCAGCTCTGTGGTACTAAGGAGTCTGTCGCTGGTGCACTGTGTGTACAGGATGGCTGATCCCCGAGCCTGATCCCCGGGCTCTCTGGTGAGGCTGATGCCTTGTCACCAAGCTTGCAGGCTGAATGCAAAACGCAAAGATGTTTTAGGTCATTGTGCTAGGAGAGAACCGGGGAGAAGACTTGTGTCTAATTCTGCTGATCTAAGATATTTTAGTTCAGAAGTATCCAAATACTGTTGTGTTGACATCCACAAGAGTACACAGATATCCATACTGGTTGTGTTTTAGTATGTGTGTGTGTTTCCAGCACAGCTTGACTAGAGCCCATGTGCTGACATGAGCTTGTGGGCTGATTTTCTGATTTCTGTGGTCATATTGGGTCTCTTTAACAATAGAGTGTGTTAAAGGAGACAATGTTGTGTTTCAACACAAAAAGATCTAAGCGATTTTGTTCCAGTGTTACACACTTCAGTTGGCATTCATATCCTATTCTTCTGATTCAATCTATTTATATTAGGAGATTATAAAAGAAATTTTTGTTTTTGTTTGCATTTTGTTTTTTTTTTTGCAAACTTGATCACAATATCTAACTTTCAAATAGAATTGTATTTAAACATAGAAAAAGGAACAATATATTCAGAGTGACCCCTCCAATATGCGTGTTGTAGGTGTTAAAGAATCAAAGCGTTAGTAACAACCAAGAAGATCCCTTGCAACAAAGCTCCCTCAAAGCACACCTCATTAGATTCTTCTCCTGGATCTCAGGAATGGACTGTTTAGACCACCTGCGCATAAGGCAATAAACGTATGTGCGAAGGAGCACACTGAAGTGTTTGTGTCTGGACTTAAACCAGAGGCAGATGCAGTGTGCTGGCAGCGTTCTGTGCAGGTCTGCAATCTTTTAAAAGAGGACCTTCACTTTGAATTCACTGTTTTCTCTAAAAGTGTGACTTGTTCTGCAAAAGCATAAAATATGCTTTACTGAGCAGGAAGATCTTTGCAGTAACTAATCAATAGTTACTTTTTGCCAGAAGTACTACTGTACAATTTTTTGAGTTAATAAACACCATTGTGTGAAAGACTATAGGCAATTTTTCAAAATCCTGTTTTTGAAATTGGAAAAATCTTAAAGATGATGACTGTTACAAATATTTATAATTGTATTAATGAGTGCACAACAGAAAAGAAAAACAGATTAAAAATATTAAGTATGTCCTATGAAAGTTGCAAAGTAAGAAACTCACTATGGGTTTTTTTTCCAATTCTTTAACATTTTAGAATAGCTTGTAAATAGAAATTAATTAAAACCTTAACAGAAGATATATGGATATGGATAATCTTCCCCCAGAAACCTGCACTTAAGGCTTAGCCTTTTAGACTTTCGTTTTTCTACTAGTGGTGTGGGAGCATGGTTATGAAGCATGCTTTGTTTGCAGTGCTGACACCAAGCTGATGCTGTTGGTTTAGAACAAACGATAAAAAATCTGACGTCTGTCTGTGAAACTGTGTCTGCTAAGCAGACCCTCAGCATGCTCTTCTTCTGAGTGCTGTAGGTTGCCACAGAGTTGAGAACCCAATATCTTGTGCATGCTTTTTGGCTTGTTTCTTGCACCTGTGTGAATCTTCAGCTGGTGATGGTTAGTATCTCACACTGAAATTTTTCAAAGAAGGATATTTTCTTGGTGGTTTTTTTTTTTTTTTTTTTTTTTTTTTTTTTTTTTTTTTTTTTTTGTGTGTGTGTGTGTGAATTGTCTCAGAAAAGCTTGTTTTTGGTTTTGTATAAGCATATGAAAAGGCACGAATACCCAGTTTCATGAATCAGTATCAGTGATTCTCACCATTAGAAAGTCATTACTTTTGACCTAGTTATGCATCATCTTGCTTAATCCCTTGGAAATGAATCCACGAGTCTTCACTAGAGTCCAAATCAATTGCTCTCCAACTGGGAGCTTAGCATTTCTCCCTGAGGATTTACTGAGGAATGGGGATTTTTTTTCCTGTGTGATTCTGTTCTGTGTTCTACATATGCTTCCGTAGAGGGTGACCGGCTCATTTTGGAGGTATAGCTGGCAGGAGTGCCACATTCACCTTTATCAAGTAATAGCTACCAAACCCTGGGTTAATAGCACTTGAAATACTACTTGGTTCTCTGCATCACTGGAAAATGTGTGCCGCTTAGAGAAAGGAGTATTGTGTAGTAGGAAGTGAAATAATTGATTAGGTTAAATAATGACCAAAACACATTTTTTCTTCAATTCCACATTTTTCAACTATTTTGCTTATTAAAAAAAAGAAGAGTAATTTTAGTCTGATCCTGACTTAAGTTGTCAGGATAATTTTCAGATCTAAACAATGAAAAATGCCAAACTTAATAATAGCCTCACTGTAACTCCAGGCTCATTGAGGTTGCCCAGTACATCCTCCTTGCTCTGCTGAAAACAGACCAACAACTGAAATGCTTTGAAATGCTTGTATTTTATTTTCCAATTAGGAAATCTAAATTTGCTTTTATGCTTCAGAGTCCAAATCTGTAAACAATGACCAATGGCTAATATTGTTTACTGAAAACATTTTCACAGGAAGTTGCATGCTGATTGTTTTCTTTCCTCACACTTTAAAAAATGTCTGCTAGCTATGGTTTAATCATTGCTGCTTATTTTAAAAAAGAAAAGTTATGTTTTGGAAAAAAAGTACATAGATACATATGGTTTGGTGTTCCTCACCTATTGAAGCTGTCACAAAATTCAGCAAGGACGTTGCTAGAGCTAAAATCCTTAGTATACAAAGGAAGAAAAAGAAAAAAAATGCTTATCCTGTAACCTATACGGCCATGGGAAGGCATGTGCAGGAGAGATTCCTTTCTGTAGTGTGAAAATTGAAGATGCTCATTTTCTTTCCTCCGGCTCTTTGAAGACAGACAAATATCCAGGCAGTTTAAAGAAGAACTAAGGAACAAACTTCTGTGGTGGCCACTGTTTCCCTCCAGCACTTTCTATGGTGTGTGGTAAGGGAGTTGTTGAAGGACTTAGAGCAACTTCCCTTAAGCAAGAAAATGGAGATGCATCCCACTCTCTAGGAGTTACTTTGTCCCTGCCTTCTCTTCAGCTGGCACAGACCTTCTCCATTACATTCGAGTCTCTTCCTCTGAAATGTCAACAGAGGCATTTGCTTAAGTTAGAGCAAGAAAAATAGCAGAATTCTTTAGGATTCTGCAGTTTTACTGCATAGAGTTCTGTGTAGTATCCTGAGAAGTGTTTGTGTTCATAAGGATTGTTCTGGTGAAGGAAACAGGAGGCTAGCATTGCAGGTGAAGAGGACACTAGTGATTCAGAAGAACGAATTTGGAAATCAAGTTCTCAACTGCTGAATGCCATTTAATTGTTCCATGTCACTACTTGCTTCTATGCCATCAAACTCACAGGGAGCAATTCATCTTTTTAAAAAACATACAGCATTAAAATTGTTTTAAAACCAAAATAGAATATTATAGTCTGCTAGAAACTGTCCATTTCTAGGCATCTTGCTTTGAACTGCGAGTAAGAGAGGAATAAAATTACAGCAAGTTCAATTTTTCACATTATTTAAAAAATACATATAAAACTAAAATATTGTTGAACCCTTACATCTTAGTGCTTTCTTCAGTACAGTTACATATACAGTCATCCAGCATTTGACAAGAATTTGCTGTGGAATTGAGTGAGAGCACTACAGTGAAACCCAGCTTTATTTACATTTGTCTGCAATACATGGCAGGTATGAGGCTGTCACTAACACAGAAGATGCGACGGTTTTCACAGTGGTGACTGATGTCTACATGTGTGGTTTCTGGGTTTTTATTTCTTTGTTTTTCCTTTAACTTGTAGAACCACATCACGGCCTTTGCAGAAGTCACATGATGTTGACGCTGAGGTATATTCGCTCCATTGGACTTCATCTCTTTTCACAGCCCACTCACGATAATTGCAGTGTAACAAAATCAAGAAATTTTTAAAGTCCTCTTTCTGACTTGATTTTTACATCGTTAAATTGATACCTACATTTTGAAGATTTCTTAAATATTAGAACGTCACTTTACTTTCTAGCAAAAATATTAACTGTTTACTTTTTGATGGAATGGGACGAACTAAGCACTAATTACCTTTATCTGACACTACCCTCTATTTTGGCTTCTTGTTGTTTTTTAATGGTTCATGTACCTATTCCAGTAGTACTCCATACTTCGATTTGAAATTGATTTTTAAAATCTGCATTTTTAAATCAGCATGAATTTGTTTCCATTTGAGCAGTTTTAGTGTATAAAAACTAGAAAAAATATTACCTTCTGTATGAAAATGCTGTTTGCACATTGTATTACGCTGTATTCCATGTAAGATATCATTCAAACAATGTTATATGTAAAACTGGTGCTTCTGCTTTTGAAGAGAAAAAAAAATGCCAATTTTTACTGTAATAAGTATTGTATCATAATTAAAAGTTTATTTATTTGGATATTTTCCTGACATAATTGTAGTTGAATTGTTGATTTGTAGCTCTTGAATGTCTTGAATGATATATATGTATCTAGGTTAAAGAAATGAAAATTATATAGAAATTTTGATCATTGATATATTCTTTATTATACTAATGCTATCCCATGAGAGGTTAAGGGCTCCATTCTTAGCTCAGCATATCTGATGGGAAGCCCTGCTATCAGAGATCACTTAAACAAGTTACTGGAGGAGCTCTGCATCATCTCATATTTGTTATACACCCAGATGTTATGCTGGGAGAATGAAGTGCTAAGACAGGAAGAGGGTCACTGATATAGTGAGGAAAAGTGCGTGTTTCTGTCCTCCTGTTGGAGCATTTATGGAAAATAAGCAATGGCTGCATTAATTTACTTCAACTGGAGTGACTGAGACAGGCAGATTTTATCTCTAGGAATCCTCTCTATCCCTGTTCCCTTTTCAGGGCCATGTTCTTGCAACAAATCCACTGTCAGACTCTGCATTGCTAACAGGATTTTTTCCTTCAAATTCGAATGGTGTTCTTATATTGCTGTTATCACTGTGAAAAATCAAATTGAGCCTCCCCTTTAAAAGACAGCCTCACTTGACTATTCATAGTGAAGTATTGTAGATGCTGAAGATACTCTTAACTGCCAGAATGTTTTCCTCTGGCAAACACAGTTGTAACACTAGCACTATAGACACATTTAAGATAGAGAAGTTCAATGTGGTCCTTGAAAGGAGTACAGAATTCTAGGCCTTAAGTTTTCCATAATTCACTGCATTTCCTCTGCATCAGTCATTGGGAGAAGATATTTCAAACATAACTGTAGAATTGGATGTATATTTTTCTATGTTGAATTTTATTGCGTTCCCGCATAGTTATCCGTGCATTTTCATTTTAACTTCTCTTTTCACTAAATGCAGCTACCTAAATATTGCTTGGAAAGCAGGGCAAAGCCAAGTCTTCTTTGAGTGCAGTAGAGCAGTGTATCCCATGAAGTCATCATACCAAGCTGAGAATTAGAGAATAAAGAAATGTATCAGCAGGGAAAAAAATCATAGAATAGAGCCCTTAGCTACAATGGTGTTACTTAGGTGATTGAAAATCCACCTTTATTAGGCTACCAGTTGTGTTTACAAAATTGTAGTAGGTCCAAAGTTTGTATCACCATGTTAGGCACACCTACCCTTCTCTTATTAGTATAGCTTTCTAGGGTCCAAGGTACTAATGATCTCTGTGTGTAGATTTAAAAGAAATTCTCACTCATTTTTGCATGGTAGCAAATTTACATTTTTTTTAATATCTGATTTATAAGATTACCAAGAGATTCTTTTATGTTAAAAGAGATGACTCTTTTCCACTGTACTGTATATCATCAACTTGTAACTGGTCGCTTTCTCTCTCAGGATCTTTCCCAGTCAAATATTTGGGTTAAATTTATCATATTATCTCTGTGAACCAGCAGTGAGAAAACAAAGAGAGACACTCTGCTGTATAATGTATTTTTAAATAAAATAATTTTTCAATCATATGCAGTGTATTTATTTTAGATATCTGCTGTAGATATATGTTCATAGCATACATACAATGAAATGATGATTTTAAAGGACAGCTGCATTTGGTGATATATTTTCATAATTAACAAGGAGTTCTCAGTTGCTTTCCCTTAAAGGTTGTTCTGTGACACTGAAAAGCAGGAGTGAAAGAGCTGTATTGCAGAAGTGTCTTCTGTCTGTTGGTGAAGGACTCCCTCCAGGATGTGGACAGGTCAAGCTCCAGATCCTGCCTTGAGTGATTTGTAGAAGAGTAAGAGTTTACCTCTCCTGCTGTTGCAGTGGCTCCGCTGCCCTTGAGCTTGGGTGTTCACTCTTCCTTTCTGGACTTTCAATAGGAACAGTGTATCGAAATAAAAGTAAGTAAAAATAAAAGTAAGTAACATGGCTTTTTTATGGTTGCTTTTTAGAAAAATCCCAGTGAAGAAAACAAGCATCATCCCTTGCTGTAATTAGATTCTAGCTCAAAGTAGTTTCCAGTAAAAATTTGGTATTTGAACTATTTCAGTGGGTTTGAGTGCATCTGTTTCTATGATCATTGTGGACTTTTTGTTTTTATGATCCCTATGAATCTTTCTATATGTGCTTCAGTTAAACAGTTCCACTCTATTTGTAAATAAGATAAGCATCTTTAATTCTATATGCTGCGGTGTTCCTAAAAGAGGAATTCATAAGGCATGTGGGGACACCAGCTGGGCTCATATCCATACCATTTTAGATTCCCTTGTATGTATTCCGTTGTTTGTTCGTAATCATGAGCTGCATAAGACATACGGCAATAGCATCTGGGCTCACATCTTTTCAGCTTTTAGAAATGTTCATTTTAACAATATGTATTAAAAGAGGATAATGTTGCTATTTTTCAGCTGCAATTTTCTCCGCTGTTTGCTATTGCTGTCTAATTTTGTTGCTGTCCAAAATCACGAGTGTGGCAGTCCATTTGCATGTTATGTTAGCAGGGAGCTTTTTATATTCTTCTGAAGTCTAATTTTGGTATTTCTGAGCCTTGCCACATTGAAAGAGAAGTGCAGTACATTTTAGAAACAGCCAACCTGAGTCTGTTTTGAGCAAATGCATCCCTTGCCATCTGCATTGCCTTGGCCTCAGGGATGCTCAGGAGTGTTTATAGGCAGGAGGGCTGAGGGCTGGGATGGGGGAGCAGGCCTCCTCAGCCCTTTTAGGTCCCTGAAGCCTCTCTCAAGTGCACCGAGAGATCTGCCTTTGATGAGGTCAAAATCAGATCTGGCTTTAATTTGACCTGAGTGCAAAGTTTTCCTATCACACCCCAGCACCTGTCATCTCCCCTCAGGTACCTCTGGTACTGAAGGGAGAAGCTGGACAGATCAGGCAAGATAGCAGCCCTAACCTGAGATGCTATATGAGTGTGGCTGCAGCCGGAGCCGATGGCTGCCATTTTCTCTTGGTCCAGCAGGACAAAAGGCTGGGAATCTGTCATGACTTCATCTCCTCAGGCCTTTCTCTAGTCCTTTCACCTTTCAGAGACTTCCACAAGGGAAAATAGTAAAGGAAACTTGGCAGATAGATTTGTCCTGTATTGTCCCCCTACGTGGATGAGTCCTAAGCCTCTTATTTTGCCAGAGAAGCTCTGCTGTTCTAATATCTTCCCCAGTGACTGAAGCCACGGTGTGCAGTAACCAGCTTCCTGAAGTGATCTCATCAGCAGAATAATCATCACAACGTTAAACAGTTTCTGGAGGCTTTTTTAGTAGGTGGGGTTTAAAGCACTGCCTGGTGCTTGGGATGGAACTGGGTATAGCATTCTGGGATCACCTGTGAGGCCACTGAACCTGTCCTCTGAGACAGGGCTTCAGAAGAGCCCCCAGTAAGGACTACAGTCCCATAAACCAAATTCTGTGCATCAGTGTTCTCTTTTGGCAACATGCAGATTTATATAAATAAAAATAAGAAACCAAACCCTTCTTCTGTCAAATCTCTCACTAAATAAGTGTTATGCATAAATACAAATTCTCTGTACCTATAGGGATCTCATGGTATTGCTATCTTTGATGTGGTTTTGAATGAGATTCTTGGACATTCAGGATTGATCTGAAGTAGGCAGGTATCCTTAAGAAAGAGAGTAATCATGTCTACAAGTGTTAAGTAAGAACTTAAAGAGCTATAAAATGAGAAAGGGATAAATTTCAGAAGCATGGAAAATGCCTTCTTATACTCATTAACAAATGTCAGGTAGATTTGCTGCATTTTTCTAATTAAAAATTAAATTTGGGCATTTCTACATTTTTGAAATACTGCAGTAGAGAAGTGCTATTCTTAGTGTACTCCTTCTGCTATTAAATTGTCTGCTGCTTCATTCTTTTGCTACTGTTTCTTAAAGCAGCAGTTACTACTCCTTCCTAGCAACTTCTGTCTTTGCAGTAGCAACTGACAACTTAAACATATCTATTCAAATATTCTAAAAATAGGTCTGATGCAATAAGAATGAAACAATCATTTAGAAAAACAACACAAAAGCCCTTTTGACTCTCACTTGAGGCAGAGGGTTTGAAGCGAGTCTTAGCAGGAGTGCAGCAAGACCCTTGCCTTTTGACAGAACTTGCAAAGTTGCCAGATATGGTGATAGATATTTTTGAGTTTAATACCCTGGTTTTTTTTGAGAAAACAGTATTAAGATGTAGTCTTGGAACATGCAGTTTTCCAGAGACAAATAAAGAATGTCCTTATTTGCATTATATTTGTTCCACAGAGTCACACTCAAAGACAGTGAGACTGTGCAGAAGAGGAGGAATAGAAATGCTAAACAAACTATGTATTATCAATGGAGGGTGAGAGTTGTTCCACTCTGAGTCTTTTTTGGAAGTAAACCAAGTGAACAGAGACTTAGTATCAGCTGATAATGTGACAGTTCTGTTGTCCTGTGTATCCTACGGGAATATTTTCTACTTATACTGTATACATTTCTGTTAACTAACATTTTTTTAATGAGAACAAATACAAGATGTTTGATCTTCAGTTCTTTGTCAGATTAAGAGAAGCTGGTGCTCCCATGGCACTGGACACTAGGCTGCTTTTTATTTTCTGTCTGATGATGTGCTTTCACAACATATTTAAGATAAAAGGGCTGCAATCTGCTTTTTGAGTGGAATTTTTCTTCAGGAATCTGGATGCTGAAAGGAAGAGCCAGCCTTCCTTGAGCATCACAAGGTTTCATTCACCTACAAGGTTCTTTGTGGCATGCTTAATCTCAAGTGGTTTGATTTACAGACATAGCACTTTAGTCTGATTGTTGTTTCATTTGGAAGGAAAAATTCTGAGAAATATACATGTCAACACAAAAGGAAATAATATTTAAACTTGTCTTCATCCTCATTGGCTTTCTGTATATCTACTCCTTCTATTATACGGCTCTGTGCTCTGTCTTCACTTTTTCATTCTGCTTCTGGAATCTGTCTTTCTCATTAGATGCTGCATAGCACTGTGTCACACTGTGTAATGACCAGCAAGTGCAGACCCTACAGATAGTGGTCTAACAGTTGTGTTACAGGCATAAAAAATGACCTGAATGTGTCACAACAGCAACAAACTAAAGGGATGGCAAAGTTGTACAGGGCCATGTGTATTACGCGTGCTGCAATCGAGCAGAAAAACAAAAGTGGTCAAGAAAGACCTAGATAATGCTCAGTCTATTCTCATTTGTGCAGCTCCTGGTGGTAGTCAGAGGCATTGTTCCAGTTTTAAATAGGAGATATAGTAAGGGGTGCTTTACAACTTTGTATTTGTTACAATTAAGACCATATGTTTCTTCATTCTTGCAAATGTATGTGATATTTGGAAGCAGAACTCTAGATATGATGAAGCTTTCCAAAGAAAGCTTCTTATGTGGAGCTACTCAGAGGAAGTCACCAGACCACCAAAGATGTGCAAGAGACAACAGACAAACCTGAAACATCATTCCTCCCTTTCAGCCTACTTTTATCCTTCTAATTTGAGAGGTCCCTGCTTGAAACCCACACCCTACCCTGGTCAGGCTTTCAGTTAGAGCTCCAATGCAAGCCAGCAGATGTGAATCCAGCACCTCTTCTCCTGCACAGCTCTCCTCTCCCCAAGACTCCACTCCAGCTGCACTCACAGGCCGTTAGCAAGGCTCCAAACACAGCTTTTGCATTAGCTGGGAAGAGGACACAGGATAGCTACAGCTTCCTCGTCAGAGCTGTTGGACAGATGGAGCAAAGATATGCAGCCATCCTCCCCCCAATTAGGGTAAAAGAGATACCTAATGTATGCAGCAAGACAGCAGACTGGGAGACCAAGTCTTAGTTGCTGATGGGTATTTGCACATTTGTACTCTTACACTGGTATTACTCTTCCTGATGGACCTAGCTGTGACAGGAAGCTGCAAAGTCGTGCAATCAGTGGCCAGCCCCAGAACAGGGAAATGCTCTTTCACCTGCCAGATGGAGACTGGATTTATCATGTGAATTTATCAGCTGTTTCTCCCCGAAGCTTTAAGATGTCCTAGCATAGTCTGCTTCCAGAACAGTATGTTGTCAGAATAGGCTTTTAGTCTGTTCTTTCTTATTCCTGAGTAAGAGATAGATGTGATTTCCATTAATTCTCTGTAACAGATGCTGTCTTTTTATATATGTATATATGTGTGTGCCTGTTTCTTATTCTTGATTACTTTTTGAACTTATTCACTCTTCCACATTGGACTTTTATTGCTTTTATTACCAGATGGCATAAAGAGCTTTGTGTCATACATTAATCTAGCTTTAAAATTTTTCCATTTTCCTTCAGCGTCTTTTCTGGTTTTTATGCTTCAGCAGCAGTTGGTGTTTGTTTGCAGATCAGTATTTGCTGTCCACATGTAACATCTAGGCTCTCATCTCCCTGTGGCAGTGGCAGAACTTGGAAGTTCTGCTATTTTGCATGAGATTGGATATGAGTTCTATTTTCCGTGTGGAGGTACAGACAAGGAGGAATGTGAGACTTGCCAA